CTACGGGCCGCCGATCTGACTGGACCACCTCTCAGGGCCTACAACCTATCCGGTCGTCCTCGTGTGTCTTAGCTAACAACACAAAGCAGGACCGACTCAACCCAACACAACATGTCGACATATGCAACAAACAAGCATCAACATAGAGCCAGCAAATACATATAATCATACGGATCTACTAAGCACCTACAAATATCATATAACTATCCTAACCAGGAGAATTAATCTAGTGGGCTGGCCTTGGTGCCTTCGACCCACGGGTATAGTGAGGAAAACTCACCTCACAGTATGAATGTAGTTTAAATAACTCCCAGCTCCGTCAACCGGCTCAACCCAAATCCTAAATGTCAAAACATTTCCCATTCTAAATTAATAACACTTTCCCAAATTACCCTTGGTTAAAACTGGTCAAAATCAACAAGTTAACCGAGTCGACCCAGCCAAGTCAACTCAGGGCTCGTATGCGGGGCATACTAGCGGTCCAAGACGGCAGGGCCAAATCTACGTACGCACAATGTATCATTTGTATGTCCTGCGTACGCAAAAGTTTTCCTTATTAACATATTAAGAGCTTATTACTTCGACTTAATACATCTAAATGCAGATCCAAGGATAAAATACCACTAAGAGTCATACAATTTCCAATTTTATGACTTTGCATGCCCAATAAGTGCTTAATACACAAAATCCCAACTTCTTAACACCTTAAGACCATCTAGAGCATGCATGGGGAAAGACTAAGCATCAAGAACATGCTTTTATGACTCAAGACCCCTCATTAGATCCGAAAGGACAACTTATTCGATTAAGAGCATGTCATGCTCAAGAATCATCATAGTTGGGACCAAAAATGCCCTAAATGAAGAAATGGCTAGATCTACAAGATAAGATGATCAAGCAAGGAGACTTTTACCTCCTGGAGGTTGCTAGCAAGGAAAGAATTCGATATCTAATTTGCCTCCAAGCTTCAAGGTCCTTGTACCAACTTCTTCTTCAAGAACACCACCAAAGCACACAAATGAGCTCAAAATGCTCTCTTCTCACTTAGGGTTTGCTATAGGTACGTTTTCTTAAATGGAGGTTGACGAGGGAATGAGAAATGAGGTGATAATGATGCTTATATATGGACCAAACCCTAAAAATTAGGGTTTGAGGTTTCTTTACGTAGACCCTGTGTGTGCGGTGTATGCTTAGTGTACTAAGGTTCGCCCTAGTACGCTCAACGTACAAACGTATGCCCAACGTATTAGGCCTTTGGTCAAAATCACCAAAATGCTACTATAGGCCATCCGTGCAAAATTTCTCAAGCCTAATTGTCAAAATGCAATATTCTTTCATACATAGGTTTAAAATTGATAATACCTCATCATCGGGATGTTACAATCGTTTATGTACTCTGTAAGTTTTTCTATTCCTACATCATTGGAGGAGGGAGTGGTCAATGTCAGTAGACACTAGTCAACGTGTGTTAGAGGCACTGCAACACATCGATTACAACAACATGTAAATCGATACTTGCAGCACAAGTCTAGTTGTCTCAATTCCTGAAGAAAAAAAAGCTGAAAGATAATCAAAGGAGATAATATGTTATTTCATGAATTTACACATAGAAGGCATTTGGTGAAGTTGTTTACCTTCAGTTGTATCAAATTTGTGTATGCGATTGTAACCATGGATCTCCGTCGATTCTATTACATATAAGCAATTCAATTTTTTGTTTACGAACTGGAAACATATGAATTTGAGGGTTTTGTAAATTACCTGTTAAGAATTGAGAATTTGTAGAAAACCCAATTGGTTGGTGACCATTAGAGGATACTGGACTGATGAAAAACCATTGCCCACCACGGTGGCTCTCCGACGGCAAGAACAAATAGCAGGCATTTGGGGAACAACTATGGTTGATCCACGGAAAAGAAATATTGTACACAACAATCCATGCTGATCGACCCACCCTATCTTGCACCTCCTCAGAGTTCGTTACCACCATGCACAACACCGCCACTTTCGTTAAATATTCGTTGGACAAATTGGAACTAAAGACGTTGTCTCTCAACATTGTTTATGTTGCCATTGTCATCGCGTTGTTCTTTATTTTTGTGGAAAACTCATCATTATGATTAGCAAGAGGAGAGTGACGTGGAGGTCGGATGTTTGGCCATCATAATGGTTTTGGGAGAGGTGAAGATGGAGGTGGTGGGAGGCGGAGGAGAGGTGGATGGGAAGAAGAGAGACGTTGAGGAAGATAGCATTGGTGGTTCCTGTGGTATATAATGGGGATATAGTTTTTTTTTCAATTGCAAAAATGGTCCTAAAAAGATGAAAATACAAATATACCCTCGTGTGGGAGGCACATGAGGGGGCTAACTGCAACAACTTAACAGGAGTCGGCAGACCATTTCCACATACAAACTAAATCAAAAAGACCATGAACCCAAAAAGATCGAGGTTTTGACTAAACCTCGAAAAAAAATACAAACCGTAAGTACCATTTTTGCAATTGTCTAATATTTAATAACTCTCACTAAGGTGGTGTTTGTTTTTTGGAAAAAACCTCTTCAAACCTCTTACTGCTGCGCGGCGCAGCACACGCGCAGCACTTTTCATCTCGCAGCTGTTTGTTTTTTAGAAGTCTTTTGAATCAAAAACCTCTGCGCAGGCTCTGTTTGACGCAGCACTTGTACTGCCTCTTCTAACCTCTTTCAACCTCTTATTCTTCTTTTTTTATTGCTGAAATTTTGATTATATGTTATTAAATTTTTATTTCACATTTTTTTTCCGTTTTTTTTTCCGTTTATTCTTATTGAATTTATTTTTTATTTTTTTATATTCAATAATGATAATCTCTTGATGAAATATCATTATTTTTTACTAAAATATCTTTATTTTTTGTTGAAATATCATTATTTTTTACTGAAATATCATTAATTTTTACCGAAATGTTATACATTATTAAATTTTACGTGTTAAAAAACTATTTTTGGTTTATAAAATTAGTTTATTTTAATTTTTTAATATCTGCAGCAGTATGCAGATGTTAAAAAAACAAACACGTTTCTTATTATAGTCTGCAGCCGTTTGGTCCACCTCTTCTACTGCAGAGGTTTGCAGAGATGGTCCGCAGACTTCATGAATTTTTGCTTCAGAAAATCAAACAGCACCTAAAACTTATCTTATGTCGTTAATAATTTGACCAGAGATATTGGCAAGTTAGTTAAGACTTAATGGCAAAATGGTGCTATTTAAAGACAGCCCATGTTAGAGTGCTAAAAGTATTGTCAAGTTGCAAATATTTCATAAAACCCTTTTTTTTTTTTTATTATGGTCTAATTTTTATAAAAATGGGAATTGATAGAGAATAGATAGTTTTAGTGTTAGGTAAATCGAATGCATAACCTAATATATATTTTATAATCTTTGTTAAAAATTACAAGTAATTATGTAAAATTAGTGAAATAAATCGAAACGACCGAAGTCAATAAATATAACTAACAAAGTATTTTTTGCAATAACATATATTCATTTTTTTGTTAAAATTTTAGAAAAATATGTTGATAAAGTCGACCGGATTACTAAGATCTTTTTATTATAGCTGATAAGATCTTTTTATTACTCCCCCGTCTTAAAATTATTGTGCACAGACAAAAAAACACACAGATTAAGAAAACATTAATTACTACTAACTTTATACAAGAAAATAATAGTTTTTTCCTTACTTTGCATTTAATATTCCATTAAATTCTTAGTTCGTTAAATAATAATGAAAGAGTATTTTGGTAAAAGTGTTATTTATTTTTTGAAGTGGACTATCATTTTGAGACAAACCAAAAAAGAAAAATGGATTATAATTTTAAGGAGTAAATTACATGAATGGTCCCTATGGTTTGGGGTAATTTGCACGTTTGATCCCTAACTTATTTTTTTAACTCGGAAGGTCCCTACTGGTTGTTTTTATTACGTGTTTGGTCCTTATTGTTTGTTTTTGTTACGCGCTTGGTCCCTCTCATACCTAAAAATACTATTATTTAAAGAGGAAAAAATGATGGGGTACGTAAGGTAAGGTGAGAAGGGTGAGATTAGGGGTGTGTTTATTTAAATAAATTAAAAATAAAGGGAAAAATAGACTTTTTATGTAAGACAGGGACCAAGCGCGTAACAAAAACAAACAGTAGGGACCTTCCGAGTTAAAAAAATAAGTTAGGGACCAAACACGCAAATTACCCTAAACCATAGGGACCATTCGTGTAATTTACTCTAATATTTAATTAATTATTGTATACATGTTCATGTTTCTTCAAAACAATAATTAATTAAAAAAAAAATAAAACTCATGGATATATCATATTATCCATATTATTCATGTAAGCATTTTTTAAAATGCAAATTCTCTATCTTATCATTTTATATTTTAGTATATGTTTAACATTTTAATTATAATAATAAGTGTTTTATTAAAAAAAAATTCACTTGTTATTATTAATAATAACAAGTGGCTTTAAAATTAATAAGTAATAGTTATAAATAATAAAATCAAATTACATGGATATATCATATTATCCATGCAAGTCTCTTTTGAAATGCAAATTATCTATCGTATCACTTTATTATTTAGTGTATGTTTCACATTTTAATAATAATATTAAATGTTTCTTAAAAGTCTTCTTTAACTTATTATTAATAATAAGTGATTTAAAATTAATAAATAACAATTTTAAAGGATAACTAGATTCATAACCCCCGCTTCGCGGGAGGCAGAGGGATCAGTTGTAATTTTTGTCTAAGATATTTCGTATCTATTTAAGAATGTCTTAATAGAGCAGATGATTATATAACGGAAATGGTTTAAAAGATATCATTAATTAGAAATAGTGGTAACAGATAAATAGATTACGTGATAAGGATCAAAAGATATCATTCATTGCTTAATACTTCATTACAAAAGTGTCCATTCATTAAGAGGTAGCTACTGGACATTTGATTACAAAAGGGTTCGGTTTGCTTCATCGTGGGACTTGGTGGTCGTTGGTGATTTTCTTGCAGATATGGGTTGTTGCGGTCATGTTCTCCTGCATCGCCTGGAACATGTCGAGGATGAGCACAGTGTCTTGGTCGAGGTCGTTGATGAAGGTTTCAGTGATGACAACATGCCTGTATGGCATTTCCACTCGAGCTTCATTTATCATATTTTGCCTTGTTTCGTTGATGCTGGTGAATGTGTTTTGGACCATGGCGAGTGCTTCCTTCATTGTCTCCAGCTGGTTTTGCAGTTTCTGTATGATCGTCTCCATCTTCTATCTTTCGTGTTTGGTGGAAAGCTGATATATTTGGGGTGGTATTTTATAGGGGAGTATTATGGTTGTTGGATTGTATTTATTAGAAGCAATTAATTCATGTTCTGATTTGTTATAGATGTAGGGTGGCGGCGACCTTTTTTTTTTCTTTTATTAGATAGATGTGATTGTTAGGTACCAGTGTGGTATTAAATTGGTAATATCTGGGGAGATCTTTGACTGCACAGGATGTTCTTGCTTTGGAAAATGGGATAATATGGGATTCGGAATTACTACATATGCTCTCTTAAAGAAGGTTTTTACTATCTTTATGTATTTGAATATAGAACCAGTCCAATAGTCGTAAATGATAATCTGTAAATTGTTGATGTATATAGATTTATCGAATTTTCGTCTGTATTGGTATGATATTAAATATGAATATGTCATTGTATCCATAATATTAGATATTGTCGGGTGCATGTTTGGAAGCCCATTATATATTTAAATAACTATATATGGATATTTTTTTTGTGAAATTTTGGAAGACTGGAAGCATGCAAATGGTGTTTATTTATTATTGTTTATATTACATAGGATAGTTGTTTATCTTGTTTGCTACAAAAGAAAAAATAGTATCCGAAACAAAAGATGGACTTCACAGTCCTGTGTGCTGCTAGTCGCTACTTTGTGGTTCGTTTCTGAAATTTTGTTGGTGGTGGGCCTGTGATAGAAGAATTTAAAAAGTATTAGTGTTCCTATTGGTAATTTGGTGTTTAGTTTTGATTCTATTACATTGTCTTTTACCTGGTGGAGTAAAGGTTAGCGTGCGTGCGACAGGGAGTGGAGGTCCACTTGCCTCAGGTGTTTCGTCATCTAACATTTGTGTTTGTCCGGGTGTTGTTGCGACGGGTGTCTCTGGTGGTATAGTTGATTGTTGGATGTCAATTATTATGAAACGGATGTTGTCAGGACTTTATGTCCTCAACATTTGGATACACATGGTTTTTTTTTGTTCTTTTTGATTGGTGATGATTGAAGACAAGATGTTCCTGTTTGTCAGCGGGTTATCGGATATGAACTTTTCAAGCGATGATTTTAACAGCTTCCGACATGATGTTTCGGAGACTATTGCAAGTATGGTGTCCATTTTGTCGGTGATGGTAACAGTAAGTTTGTATCTACGCATATGAATAACTTTTAAGTAGTATGATTACCGAATAGTGGTTTTTGTATGATTTGGAAAATGCTTACATGTAGGTTGGCTTTTCAATTAGTCCATGTGCACTGCAATACCACTGGTGGCCTCTTCTGAAAATCGGATCTTTGCAGATTGGACATGTTGTTTGGTACCAAGTGTTTTGGAAGTGAAATTTCTTGATTGAAGCCTCTACTATGAAAGTTTTGTCCTATAAATAGAAAGTAACTGAATGTGAGAATGTGAAACAGATTGTATTAGTAAATACTAATATCATTGTTGTCGTCTTACCAGTAGATCAGATCTGTTTTTCAGTTTCATTTCGTATAAGGTTGTGGGAGTTCTTGATAACGCAGGTATTGTCCTTGAGGGTCCTGTGAATCTGAAACGTTGTTGTTGTTGGTATACAATTTCATTGATATAGATCGTAAAAATTTTCGGTAATTTATGTCACTTACAGATCTATGAGTAATGTTATCTCGGGTATATTAGGGTTGACATAGATATGTGTAGCATGTGATGATCCGTGTCTTAATGCTCCTACATAGATGATATTTCGTGGTTAAGGGCATTAGGAGATGTGATGTGATAGTGGTGATACACACACACACACACACACACACACACACACACATATATATATATATATATATATATATATATATATAGGTTTGTAGAAGACGGTACCATAGGATTTTGATGGTTTTAGGTTCGTTACTGCAACAACAGTTGTTGCACATGGGTGATCTAGGGAGGCACGGTTGAATTTATGTTTATTTGTTATACATTCTTTCCATAGATTTATTACAAGTTCACTGCCACTAATGGAATTTGAGTTTTTTTGTTGTTAGTTGGGGATCATGAGATTTATGTGTGTGTTTTGGTGGTTAGTATATATACCTTTCATCGCTTAGTATCAGCAAGACAAACAATTCTCCATTTGCTTTTTTGCAATCTCTTATCTTCGATAGAACGCCAATGAAGTCTGTTTGGAAGTAAGTAAATCAGCTGTTGGCAGAGTTAACAACTACCACAATCTAAGAAATCAAAAGAAGAAATGCTACTAAGTAATTTTTTTAAAGCTGGAAATGGTTTTTTATGGGCTCATTTTTTTTTCGGTTTTTCATTTGTTTTTTTATTTTCGAATTTGACTAATATACCCCTGTTCATGTTTTGGGTCAAACAAAAAAAAAAAAAAGAAGAACAACTGGCAATGATGAGTATGAACTGTCTGGAAGTTATTTTTTTTATCTTTAAAACCAATTGGTAACGGTAGTTTTGTTTGTTGAATTCAGAAGCTGACAAATATACCCCTGCTTATGTTTTCAGCCAGATAACAAAAAATGCCATAGGTTGTGAAATTAGTAAAAAAAAAGAACTTCGATAATTTATACAAATGATGAGTAATGCATATTTCTATTTTGGTTATATGGATAACACAATGAATACCTGGATAGTATGGTGGTGCTTCTCCGAGTTAAATCAACTATGACTTTGATACGAAGCGAAACCAGGTTTTTGGAACTGTCATTGTGTCTGGAATTCGCTATATGGTGGACTTCAGACCAACATCAATATAGAAGTCATTTTCGAGAACCTTTTGATACTTTTCTAATTGAGGACAGCTATAATCTGATATAATGTAACATTCTGAAACATTGAAAACAGATTCAATGTAGTTCTGGTTTGTTCGCTGTCCAAGAATTTGAATTGCATCTGCCTATAGGAATATATTATCATAACATTAGATTCAATGGTATTACTTGTGTTTTTATTCTTACAGAATTGTATGATCTGTTGATAACGTGTGTTTATTTGGGCAAGAAAGCAACTGCTTTTGTAAATATTGATAAGCGATAATTAAGAGTGTGCTTTCTACAAATTTAAATTTGTTGTAAATTTTAAACTGGAAAACTGGTTTTGTTGTATATTTATAAATTATTATAGTATATTTTTTAATGTTTATAAAATCGTATCTTCTTGTAAATATTTCTGTTTAATTAAAGGGCATATTGGTTGTTTATGTGAATATAATATACTAATAATTAATAATTTATTTCGTACATGTTTCATCTGCTGAATAATTAAGATTTGAAACAGGTTTTTATCGTGATGTATTCTTGTGTGAACTTACATATTTGTCGACAGCCAGGTACCAGGTTTCGTATTGCCAGATATCGTGTTTCCATTTCCGTAGTATTCTAACCTGTAAGGGGCCTCCGGTACCCTCAGCTTTCAGCTCGAAGATAGTCGTCATTTGCTGTTTGCGTTCTCTAATATAAACAAATGTATACGGGTAAGCTTTATATTTGGATGAGAATATAAAATTCTATAAATATGTAATTCTCTAAATAATAAAACGTATATGATTAAAATGAAAAGTAGTAATGATGTTGAAAGGTTGGACATGCAGTGATACTGTAGACCTCAGTTGTATTAACTTTGTGTAGTAATTCCTTGTAGACAACATTTTTTGTTTCGTTGTTTTTACATGTGTCAGTCTTGTTTAGCAATATCCTTATCGAATCTGGTGATGTTGCTCGGGAGAGGGCAACATAAAGTTGTCCATGCGCAAACACGGGCTGTGATAAATAGATTCCAATCTTACGTAGCGATTGACCTTGACTCTTGTTGATAGTCATTGCGTAACAAACTTTCACTGGAAATTGTTTGCGTGAGAAGACGAATGGTAAATCTGATGACTTGTGTATGAACTTTATGCGTGGTATATACACACGCTTTTCGATGGAGGTGCCCGTTATGATCGTTGCTTCAATAAGGGTTGGTAACAATTGTGAAACAATCATCCGAGTACCGTTGCATAAACCTTCCTTCTGATTTATGTTTCTTAAAAGCATTATCGGGCAGTCCACCTTAAGTAGAAGCTTGTGGGGTGGTATTCCTGGAAAAGTTAGTTGGTTTAGATATTCGATTGGATAAAGGTCTTCCAAATTCAATGTGTGTTTTCCATTGGGGTGCATGGTGTTAGTGCTGTTGTATACCCTGGCAGCTGTTGTGACCATTCTTAGAACGTGAGCGTTTATCTCGTCCGCTGAATCATTTGTGGGACAAATTATTGCTCTTGCTGAAAGTTATGACGCAGTCAGTTGATTAAGTGTATCATCCCCATACACGAAATCTATTAAGGTCTATAATGAATTAGGGGAAGGTGATATTAGGAGTGAAGATGGGATTTGTATCCAGCTTGAGTCTCGTGGGTCATCCTTGTCAGGCACATCTATATATCCATCACCAATAGCTAAGATCCATGTGGCAAAGTTAGATAAAGTCATTGAGGTGCAGGGTATTATATTAGAGGATTCAAGTCTCATGTTCATATGTAGAAAGTGAATTATAAAATATGGCCATAAATACGAACTTGGTAGACTTAGTCCTATAATTTCTGAACGTGTGCTCCTTGGTAGAACAGGTAGAGTTTGGCGGAAATCACCACCAAGAAGAACCGATATGCCTCTAAATGGTTTTTCGTCACAGTCTAACACATCCTTAAGTGAGCGGTCCAAAAATTCGAAGCATCTTCTATCACTCATTGGTGCTTCGTCCCAAATTATGAGTGTTATTCGTTGTATAAGATCGCCAAGGAAGGTACACTTTTTTATATCACATGATTTTTTGTCCTTTAAATCAATAGGTATTTTGAACCTTAAGTGTGCAGTTGTCCCAGACGGTAACAAAAGCGATGCGATTCCGAAAGCAACAACAGCCAAAGCGATTTTCCCCATCGATCTCAAATAGGAAAGAATAATCATCCATAGGAATGTTTTACCAGTGCCACCGTGCCAATAAACAAATATTAGTGCTTGTTTGTTGTTCTTTATGGAAGAAACGACATTGTTGTACACTAATCATTGGTCAAGATTTATCTTTGGTAGTAGGTCATTGTGCTGTTTTCGTAGCCCTTCCTTATCATAACTCATTTATTCCAATAGTAGTCGATTTCATAAAACACCACTAACATCGATTGACAGAACAGGAAGTCCAAAGTCCGCCATTGATTTAGATGGGACAGCAGATCGGAGCGTGTCATCTAAATCATGAAGGAGTTGATGTTCAACAATCCCAGCAGTAGAGGTTACTGCCTTATCTGGTACTTCAACCCTCAGGGTATGTAAGTAGTCATCTTTCATCCTATCGCACGCAGTGTTCCAAAGCAGAAGTGGATTGCTGACCTCACAGAAAAGGAGTAGATGACAGAAAAGTGATCGTAGTTGCGATGTGCTTGCCCACGTTGAAGCTTCTGTAAAACATGTCAACCACTCGACATCATCACCTATCAATCGAAGTGCATTACCGACAGCTCTGAAAGTTGGATAGACAGTTCCAGCAACAGTACGTAAATCTTTAAACGACGTACATCCTTTTTGGTGATACAGCAACATCCGTAAGTAGAACAACTCTCCAGAAGTTGGGTGTACAAATACAAGGCGGTCTACCATTTTTGATGATTCATAAACTCTCCGATCCCAAGATTTACTCGACTTATCCCATTTGTAATTTTTTGGATAATCTAGATATGTCAAATCATGACCTTGAGGGTCCATTGAATTGCTTTTAAACTAGCCAAGGAGGGTAGTAGTGCTGGCATACGGATTAGATAACACCTTAGGTATCGAACTGTCCCCATTGAACACCAATTGTTGCATGTTTTCCTCATGAACGGTTAGAAGCGGAACGGGTGGATGTCGATGATGTATGTGAAAGTCCAATATCCACCATGCTGCCTCATGTGGACAGATATACCACCCATCCAAAAAAATTTGGACCTCATTTATAGGATGACAATCATGATTCGTAGATCTGTCATGAGTACCAGTAGGCGCTGAGCTAGATGAGACATCGAAATTTCCCTGTTTTGGATATTATATCTTACACGATCTGCACCTTTGGAAATATACTTAAATAGATACTTAATCATCATGCTCCATCCACAGTATTCAACATTTATATGTTCATGGAATCGTGAATAAAGCCTTTTGTTATATGGTACAACATATCCATTATTAACAATCTGTCCAAATTTAGTAGTGTGGTGGGCAGTTGAGCTACGTTTGTAATGTACATATCCATTTGTGTCAAAAAATGTAGCATGAAGAAATGGTTTGGGAAAGTGTTTACTGCATTTTCCTTTTTACATACATGGAGCCTTTTGGTTAAGTGGTCCACATGGACCATGGATCATGTAGGTTGTTATCGTATTGTACAATTCTGACTCATTAACTGGATCCGGCAACTCGACTGTGATATAGTTATCAACATCACTTGCAATTTTTATATGGTCCTTTGCTGATACCCAGAGTAACGTATGACAATGGGGAAGCCCTCTTTTCTGGAATTCAATAGTGTACAGATCTGCAATAATGTACATTTGAAACGGATCACCAATTTTGAATATATTTCATGTAAAGGATGATATGGGTAAGAGGTGATGTCTATCTTGTAAGACATTGGATATGCAAATCATAAGGTAGTGACAATCATATGGATTGAATATGTAGAAACTGGTGAAACATTGCTAATAAGAAAGGTAAGCAATGAAGGGTAACAAAAGTAAGTTCTTCATCCAGGAGTAATTTGGAAACAACATATAAGAACGAAAAGTGCAAGTTATATGTACAGACAGAGGAAAAAAAACAAATAATATATGTGTTTTTGATTGATTGGGAACAGAGCAATCAATAATGAGAAAAAAAAAATCTGAATTTAAAAGAAAAAACAAACAGGGGCAACGGGTCCACCAGCTTATGGATATACAACTAATTTTCAAACAACATATGCAAAATGAAATTTTGACTAAAATACGACCTATTCTATTTTTATACATAAATGATAACAGGGATAATTTTGCAACAATATACAACAAAATAAAAATGATGAAGAAAGCAGAATCTACTCTATAAGAAGGTATATATCATACAAAAAAAGTTTAAAATTCAACAAAATTTTGTTCAGCTAAAAATCCATACAATGGTCTTATTCCAAAACTACCCCTGCAGTATGTATGTGTGTTTGTGTGTTGTAGTTATAATAATGATTATTAATTAATGTTATCAGCTGAACAAAATTTTGGTGAATTAATGTGTGACTTGTAGTTATCACAGCTGTAATAATGATTATTAATTAATGTTAGCACAAAATTATCTTAATACAAAAAGGTTATAATTTTCTGTTATTAAACTTTATGTAAAATGACAATTTGGTAAAAAATGATAAAAAATCTTGACATGTTTGAGCACCAAGTTGATTAATACCTTTCTGTCACAAATTCTTATTATGATTATTTGAATTGGATTGAGTCATTTGGTTGTGTGATATGAACTTCTAAGGGCCAAGGATAGAGATAGGTTAAACACAAAGCTATAGCCCAATGTACCTGATGCATAGAATGGAATTATGTGCCACATAGAGGTTCTTTTTGATGTAACATAGTGATGTACATTGTGTGTATGTGTGTTTGTATGTTTCTGGTTGTAAATAAAGAAGAAGAGTATGAGATGAAATATATGAGGTGGTAAGAGAAGAGGACAATGAGTATAGGGGCATTCAATTTTTTTTTTGTTAAAAAACGAAATAATAATACATGAACTAACTAAAAAACATAATTCAATTGTATTTTCTTTTGTGGAAAATAATTTTACTACATAATACAACAGTGTTGTTCCAAAATTACCCCTGCAGTATGTATGTGTGTTTGTATGTTTCAGCTTGTAAATAAAGAATAAGAGTATAAGATGAAATATGTAAGGTGGTAACAGAAGAGGACAATGAGTACAGGGGCAGTGAAATTTAAAAAAAAAAAAAATACATGAAGTAACTAAAAAAACATAATTCAATTATATTTTCCTCATATAGCAATGTTGTTCCAAAACTACCGCTGCAGTGTGTATTTGTGTTTGTATGTTTCAACTTGTAAATAAACAAGAAGAGCATAAGATGAAATATGTAAGGTGGTAACAGAATAGGACAATGAGTACATGGGTAGTGAGAATTTCTTTTAAAAACAAAAAAATAATACATGAAGTAACTAAAAAAACATAATTCAATTATATTTTCCTCATATAACAGTGTTGTTCCAAAACTACCCTTGCAGTGTATATTTGTGTTTGTATGTTTCAGCTTGTAAATAAAGAAGAAGAGTATGAGATGAAATATGTGAGGTGGTAACAGAAGAGGACAATGAGGACAGAGGCGCTCAATCTGCTCTATAAGAAGGTGTACATCATATAAAAAAATTTAGTATTCAATAAAATTTTCTTTAATTAAAAAAATCATACAGCAGTGTTGTTCCAAAATTACCCCTACAGTGTGTATGTGTGTTTGTATGTTTCAGCTTGTAAAGAAGAGGAGTATAAGATGAAATATGTGAGGTGGTAACAGAAGAGGACAATGGGTACAAGGGCAGTGAAAACATTATAAAACAAAATAATAATACATGAAGTAACTAAAAAAACAGAATACAATCATATTTTCTTTTGTGGAAAATAATTTTACTACATAAGTGATAAGGCCCCTGGAAGCAGAAGAACCTGTTAATCGGATAAAAAATTGCATAAAGGAGCCGGAGACAGCAAGATATGTAAACATATGTAATTTAGAAAAAGTCAAAAGAAGGTAAACACAATGTATAAGGTGCGAAATTTTGAGTATAAGAAATTGAATATTATATAAAAGATACCAGTATACACAGAATTAGTATACATAAAGCAGCTGGAGATAGCACATACATAAAAAAATCCAATAAAGTACACATAACATCATATGAAATGAAAAAGAATAGTCGAGTGGAGAACATAAATGCTTCAACATCGCCAAAGGTTTTGTCCTCTTTAAGAAACTGGATATACTCATGAACTTTGATATTAAAGACTCGAGCAATGATGTCCTCTCTACTATGCATATCGGTTTGGCGATGTGTATCCATATAGCGAGTGATCTCTGGACACTTGACGTTGCATGTAAACGTGATAAAGTACTGCGGATTACCATACACCCTACATATGGAAAG